AAAAAAAAAAAATCCCAACAGATTATTTTTGTGTGTGGATCTAAAAAGGCTGATCCTAATCTTCTTAGTAAGGATAAAATCCCAAGACAGCCCAAATAATTCTGAACAGTAAGTGGAGAGTGGGGCAGGAGTGGGAGTCTTTTCTACCAGAGATAAAGTGTTCGGGATAAAACTCTGATAATTAAGGTGGTGTGGGAGTGGGGCAGGACAGGCAGAAACCAAAGAGCAGAATGGATATGACCAAGGTGACATGACAAATTACTGAGTACAAACTTGGATTATTCAATAAATAAAGCTAACACCATTAGTATCCATGGGTAACAAAATAAAACTGGACCCTTATCTTACACTGAACAACACATTCTAAAAAAAATAAAAACCTAAACATGAAAAGAAAACTTTAAAGCTTTTAGAAGAAAATATAGGAGAATATGATTACAATTACCAGAGCAGAAAAGTCTTTCTTAAAGGCAAATATAATATTAATATACTTAAATTTAAACTACAACTTCCTTCTGACAAAAAGATAGTATAAAGTCAACAGACAAGTCAGTCTGGAAGCAGGTAACTGTAATGCATATAATTAAAATAGGATTAATACAGAATATATAAGGAATGTCTACAAATTCATAAGAAAAATAGAGAAACAGGCAAAAGACAGAAACTAGTAATTTAGAGAGAAAACTGAACAGTCAATAAAAACCTAAAAAATGATCACTAATAGTCCAAATTAAACAAATGAGAGGCAATTTCACGTTCACCAGATGTGAGGAGAGGAGACTTAATGTGACAACATCAAGTATAAACAAGGATGTGGAAAAATGAAGTACTAGCGCAGGAGTAAACTGGCCCAGCCACTTGGGAGAACAGTTTGACAGCTCTAGTGAAGCAGAGACTCACCCACACCACAACCCCATAGTTTCACTCCTAGTTACACAAAGCCTAGAACTCTCCCATGTGTCCATGGAAAGGCATTAACACAGATATTCACTTCATAACTATTTACAAAAGCAAAAAATTGGAAACAACCCAAATGTCCACCCTGAAGAACTGAAAATGAAGTATGGTATATTCATAAAAGGGAAACCTATATAGCAGTTAAATCAACAAATTAGAATCTATGTATCAGTATGAACAAGTCTTGCAAACCTAAGTGTTGGAGGAAGCAAACTGCAGAATGATGCATACTGTTAAGACATCATTTACATGAAACATGTAGCATATGAAACAACATTATGTTATTTATGGATAGGTACATAAGCAGTACAAGTATAAAAGCAGAACAAGCCCAAATCATAATAATAACAAGAGAAATCTCTGGTGAGGGAGAGAGGGGAATAGAATGGGGAAAGAAATATAAAAGGAACTTCAGCTGTACCTGTCCTGTCATATTTTATTTCTAAAAAAAAATTCTGAAGCAAATAAAGCAAAAATGTTAAAATTTTTTAAGTCTAGGTAGTAGAAACACAGGTATTTATTATTTTCGTTCTTTTTCTGCATGCTTTAAATATTTCACAATAAAAGGATATTACATTCAGACTACTTTAACAGCAGCAGGTCTAGGGCCGCATTCCCCATGCATCCTCGTTAATCTGGTCTTCCTCAAGGCTACAGAAGTTAAAGCAAGGAAACGCAAGGTGGAAGGAAAGAATTCTGAGACTGATTCTTCAGTCCATAATTCATTTATTGACCCTCAAGTTTACATACAGCAAGGCAACTCTAACCTCTGGGTTCTGTGGCCTTTTCAGTTCTGATTTGCACAAATCAACACGCAAATGCAGTACAAGTCCCAGGGGCAGCTGAGTTTGATGACACTGCTGGTGGTGGGGCAGGGGCCACCACCCTTACATCTGACAAGTTATACTAATGCAAACGACTGTTGCTAGAATATTTTGATGCCATTAAAGAACTGCAGCAGCCAACAATGACATAAACCACAAGATCAAATCAGGCTCATACATATATCCCAACTGAACAGGGCAAGAAGGTTCTCCACCCAAATGGTCCCCTGTGACTTTTGGGGGATAAGGATCAGGAAGAAGAGACCTTAGGAAGTCAAAATGGAGGAATCAGGTAGAGTGGTATCTAAAACAGAAACAGAAAATGTAATTCTGAAATCTAGATCATAAGGACAAGAAGAAAAACACAAAATAAGAGGGTTACCATGTCCTTCCCCATCAGCAAACGTATTAAATTTGCAAAGTGGCTAGCCACAACCACACCTCAACCTGTAATGACAGTAACAATGATTATTATCATCATCTCTTACATCTGCACATCTTTTCAGTTTGTAACATAATTCACATTCACATTTAAGCCCTGCCCTGACACACAGAGCAGGTGGGACAGTGATTACTGTAGGTTTTCAGATGAAGAGATAGCAGGTGTTTAGTCAAGACCACAGGAAGAGTAAGTGGCAGAGCCACGTCTTCTGACTTTCCGTCCAGAACGAGGCCCATGTATTCTGTCCTGTCAGGGACCACAGAGCTATTCCACATGCATACATTCTTTAGATAACTGAAGTTGACTTATTTCTTTATGACCACATAGCTTTATTATCTTAAAAATTGACAAACACATTTTTAAATGGCCACCAAAAATGTGTTTTCTCAGCAAGGATGTGCCTAACATAACCTAACCTTTTCTTAATAACTTGAGATTACTATTATGAAATAAAACTACCACCTTACATGCTTATAGCACTTAGGAATTATCTTGTTACTTACAACTAAGTCGGTCACACAGGATACGGACTATTATCCTCATTTTATAGATGAAAAAATTAAGGTTTAGAGAGATAAAGTCATCAACCCAGAGTCACAGTCACAAACTGGCAGAGCTGGGACTGAAGTGAAGTGTTCTTGATCCACATTTTCCCACGGAGGTCTGTCTTTCTGTTGCCCACATTAGTTTCTATGGTGAGTTTTAGATTTGCAGGTTTTCCAACTTCTTTTTCTAAAGCTGATCCTCAATTTTCAGTCAGGGACACTTCTAATCTTCCAACTCATTTAGGAAACATGCCCCTGTGTGCAGGTCTGGCAAGTTCTCCAGATTTCCTCCAAAGCATCATAAGTGAGGCCCCAACACCCAGAACTCAAGTTTCTGTGATTTGCTGCTCAGAAGCCTTTTCTCATTTTATTATACTTCACAGTCTCTAACTTAAGTGCCTAACTATGTGCCAGACACAGGGCTAGTCAGAGGATATAAGAGCAAATAGACATTATACCTGTCCTGAAGGGAAAGGCTACTAGCAAAGGCAGACTTCTTGTTAAAAAGAAGATACTATATTAGTTCAACCTGCCTACCAGTGAAGGAAAGAGAATATCACATTATAGTGAGTAAATATCTAACAGTGAGTGAGTAAATTAGGTCTTGTTACATTCATGTTAGAGGTGGTACCTTAAGCTATTACAGTTCCACAGGATTAGTGGCAGATTGAGAAATAAATAAAGCTTCCAAAGCAGTAGAACAAAATGAAAGCTTTCAAAGCAGTAGAACAAAATGAAACAAGAAAAATATGTAAGGGAAAAAATCCTAGGCAAATGAAAAACATAAAATAACATAGAATGAAGTTCAAATGTGTCATTAATCTCAATAAATGTAAACAGGTTAAATATGGAACTCTAACAGGATGCCAGTGATAAACTATTTACATGAGACATTCTTAAATTTATTCTTAAAATAAAATAACAAAGAAAGACTGAACATAAAAGGATGGAAAATGTTATTCTAAGTAAATGCCAAACAAGTTAGGCAGACAAAATGTGAGTATCAGACAAAACAGAATCCAAAGTGAATGGCATTAAAAAAGACAGAGAAGATTTAATAATAACACAAAATCCACCAAAAATGATTTAACAGTGAGGAACACTTATGTACCTCACAGCCAACTTCAAAATATGCAAAACAAAAATGAATATACAATGAGAAACTAAGAAAGTCTGAAGCATCATGAGACTGTAATTATACCTTTGTTTCAATAATCTACAGGTCAAATAAAACAGAAAACTTCAGAAGAAAAGTAAAAGGAATAAAGAATTAGTAAGGAGGAAATAAATAAACCAATGGCTATTCAGATGTATGATTATATACATAGCAAAACATAATCTACAGATAAATGATTAGAAATAAATTCACTTAGCAAGGTTGCTAGATATAAGATCAATATATAAAATCAATTATATGTCTGTGTATCAGTATGTACATTAGGAATTAGAATTTTAAAAAGACATCACTTATAAGAGCACTGAACAAACCAATACCAAGGAATATAAATCTAATAAAAGATGAACAAAACCACACACACACACAAACTATAAATTACTGAGAGTATTTAAAGACAACCTAAATAAATGAAGGGATATATACCCTGTTTGTGGATTGGGGAATTCAATATTGTAAAGATACTAATTCCTCATCAAAATTCCAATAGGTTGTCTTTTGTTGTTGTTTCGGAGGTGGAGGGGGGTTGGTGGAAATGGACAAATCCTGACTGTAAAATCTGTATGGAAATACAAAGGGTTAAGATTAGCCAACACGTCCTAGAAGAACAGGTGGCAAAAGTTATTCTATTGCATATTAAGACCTAGAATAATTAAGATAGTGTACAGTAGCATAAGAACCAACAATGAGGTCAAGAAAGAGAACAGAAGGCCCAGAAATTGACCCACACATAGGTAGACACTTAATTTATGACAAGTGGCATGCCACTTTGGGGAAAGAAACTGTTTTAACAAATAATGCTTGTTCAACTGGATATCCATTCTGGAACAAAATGAAACTTCTCTAAAAAATAACACAGGAAAGTGTCTTCTTAACCTTGGTCTAGGGAAAATTTTCTTAGGATACAAAAACAAAAGAAAAGCCTAAATGGAAAACATTCCTACATTGGATTACAGTGATATTAAGAATTCTGTTCATCAGACACTTCTCCAAAGAAGAAATTCAGGTGGCCAACAGGCACATGCAGAGATGCTTCACATTGCTAATCATCAGAGAAATGCAAATTAAAATCACAATTAGATATCACCTCACACCAATTAGGATGGCCAACATCCAAAAAAACAAGAAACAACAAATGCTGGTGAGGATGCAGAGAAAGGGGAACCCTCCTACACTGTTTGTGGCAACGTATATTAGATGAACCGTTGTGGAAAGCAATATGGAGGTTCCTCAAAAACCTAAAAGTAGAAATACCATTTGACCCAGTAATTCTACTACTAGGAATTTACCTGAAGAAAACCAGATCGCTGATACAAAAAGACATATGCACCCCTATGTTTATTGCTCCACTATTTACAACAGCTAAGATACGGAAGCAACCTAAGTGTCCATCAACAGATGAATGGATAAAGAAAATGTGGTCATATACACAATGGAATATTATTCAGCTATAAAAAGAAAATAAATCCTACCATTTGCAACAATGTGGATGGAACTAGAGGGTACTATGCTCAGTGAAATAAGCCAGGCACAGAAAGACATATACCAAATGACGTCACTCATCTGTGTGGAGTATAAAAACAAAACAAAACTAAAGGAACAAAACAGCAGCAGACCGACAGACACCAAGAAGGGACAGGTAGTTACCAAAGGAGAGGGGTTGGGGAGAGAGGGTGGGGAGGGAGAAGGGGATTAAGGGGCACTATAATTCGCAATCACAATATAGGTCTATCACAGGGAAGGCAGTACAGTATGGAGAAAAAGTAGTGACTAGAGCATCTTACTATACTGATAGACAGCAACGGGGGTGTTGAGAACTTGATAATATTGGTGAATATTCAAACCACAATGTTGTTCATGAAACCTTCATAAGGCTGTATATTAATGATACTTTAATAATAATAATAATAACAATAATCTGTTCATCAGAAGATTCCACTGCAACACTTAAAAGCAAACCACATCTTATTTCTACAGAGATGTTGTCAACATAGATAACTGAGAAAGGGTCCACACCCAGAATAGTCCTACAAAGAACTCCTATAAATCAATTTTTAAAAAAGGCAAGAGAAAAAGGAAGAAAAAAAGGGAAAGTGAAAGACAGAAAGAGAGGGGGCATGGGTGGGTAAGAGACTGGATTTGGCACCTCTCAAAAAAATACATGTAAATGGGGTGTAAATACATGACAAACTACTCCCTCATACAGAAAAATGTAAATTAAAACTAGCAGTGGCCTTACACACCAACCAGGTGGCTAAAATTTAAAAAATTAATAATAACAAGTACTGACAAGGATGTGTAGCAGCTGTTCTCATACACTGTTGGTTGGAATATAAAATGATAAAACTACTTTGAAAAAAATCTTTACCTATTACAGTTGAACAAGCATATACCCTATAACCTAACAATTATATTCCTCAGAATATACCCATTAGAAACACATGCACATATGTATGTATCAAGAGATATATATAAGAACAATCACAGAAGCTTTCTTTATAATTGTCTCAAACTGAAAAAAAAAACAATAATTGAAACAAAAAAATCAATAAATGATATAATCACATAATAGAATACAGCAAGTAACATAAACAGATCATAGCTACACAAAGAATAGATGAATCTCACAAAGCGTTAAGTGAAAGAAGCCAGTCCCAAGAAAATACCTATTTTTTAACTCTATTTTTATGAAGTTCCAAATCAGGCAAAAACCAAAGTACACCATTAAAAATCAGAGCAATAGTTAATATGGGATTGGAGGCAAAGACTAGAGATTGGAAGAGGAGGGAACAGAGATGTTTCTTGGTGGTCATAATGCTCTATTTCTTTACTTGGGCAGTGGTTATACACATGTTTATTTTTGATAATTAATTGAACTATAAATTTATATTTTGTGTATTTTCTCTATTTGTATATTCTACTTTAATTAAAAAAGGAAAAGTAGCTTACTGGGTATGTCTACACACTGAGGTAAATGGCACATCAAAAAATTCAATATTAAAATCTTGTAACTAGTTTAAAACACTATCTACTTAAATCCCTATCAGCTTAAGAAAAAGAAAAAAAGGGGAGAAGAAAATCTCACAGCAAAGCAGGAACAGAAGAAAATTTCCTTAACTTCGTATGTTGATCTGCCAAAAATCAACAATAAGTATCATATTATTGTTTAGAAGCATTCCCATTAAATCTGGGGATGGGGTATAATGTCCATCATTACAGCTACTATTCAATATTGTAAGTGAATTAAAGCCCACTCAATGAAGCAGAAAGAGAAAAAAGAAAAGGTATAAAAATTGCAAAGAGAGAAGCAAAGTTTTACTTACTTATAGGCAATCTCATCTATCTGAAAAAATACAAAAGAATTAACTAACAAAATCTCCTATCTCATCAAATGTAAAGCATCAAGTATAAGACATTATTTTATGCACCAATAGGAAATTTTAAATTATTGCCTATTAACTGTAAGATATCATCAACTTAAGAATGTATCCCAATTTCAGAAATGTTCATCTTAGGACAAATGAAATAAAATATCATAACAAATTCAGGATTTCAGCAAGGTGCTAGATATAAGAGCAATGTGCCAATCCAGTAGTTCTTCTGTAAGTAGCAATAAACAATTTCAAAATGTAATGAAGAAGATTCCATTCACAAAAGCAATAAAAGAGGTGGAGCCAAGATGGCGGCGTGAGTAGAGCAGTGGAAATCTCCTCCCAAAAACACATAGAGCTATGAAAATATAACAAAGAAAAATCTTCCTAAAATAGAGACCACAGGACACAGGACAACATCCAGACCACATCCACACCTGCAAGAACCCAGCGCCTTGTGAAGGGGGTAAGATACAAGCCCCAGCCCGGCGGGACCCGAGCGCCCCTCCCCCCGGCTCCCGGCGGGTGGAGAGAAACCGGAGCAGTTTTTTTTTTTGGCGAGCGCTTTTTGGAAGCCTTAGAGGGACGGGCCCCCGTTGCTGGGGAGGCAGGGTGGCGGGACCGGTGAGGAGGTGCCTGGGAACGGCGCCGGAGGACAAAGAATATCCCGCGTTTCTCCCTGCGAGACCTGGGGGCGGGTGCCTGAGACCGGTGCCTGAGGACGGAGGAGGTCGCGCGTTTTTCCCCTTTTTTTTTTTTCTCTTTTTGGCAAGCGCTTTTTGGAAGCCTTGAAGGGACGGGGACCCCAGTGCTAGGGAGGCACGGTGGCGGGACTGGTGAGCGGGTGGCTGGGACCGGCGCCTGAGGACAAAGAATATCCCCCGTTTTTCCCTGCGGGACCGGTGGGCGGGTGCCTGAGACCGGCACTTGAGGACAGAGGAAATCGCGCGTTTTTCCCCTTTTTTTTTTCTCTTTTCTGCGAGTGCTTTTTGGAAGCCTAAAAGGGACAGGGACCCCGGTGCTAGGGAGGCAGGGCGGCGGGACTGGTGAGCGGGTGCCTGGGACCGGCACCTGAGGACAAAGAATATCCCGCATTTTTCCCTGTGGGACCGGTGGGTGGGTGCCTGAGACCAGCACCTGAGGACGGAAGAAATCGCGCGTTTTTCCCCTTTTTTTTCTCTCTTTTTGCCGAGTGCTTTTTGGAAGCCTTGAAGGGACAGGGACCCCGGTGCTAGGGAGGCAGGGCGGCGGGACTGGTGAGCGGGTGCGTGGGACCAGTGCCTGAGGACAAAGAATATTGAGCGTTCCTTCCCTGCGGGACCGGTGGGTGGGTGCTTTTTGGAAGCCTTGAAAGGACAGGGACCCTGGTGCTAGGGAGACAGGGCAGCAGGACCAGTGCGCGGGTGCCTGGGACCGGCACCGGAGAAAAAAAAAAAAAATCGCGTGTTTTTTCTTTTTTTTTTCCTTTCTGTTCCCTCTCTCATTGTTGCTGTTGTTGTTTTGGTTTGGAGAGTGCTTTTTGGAAATCTTAAAGGGGCAGGACAGGTCACTTAGACCAGAAGCAGGGAATCTGGGGATCTCTGGGCACTCTAACCCCCTGGGCAGCAGGGAGCACAGAGGCCCCTTACGGAGATAAATAGTCTCCTGGCTGCTCCCCCTCCAACGGGGCTCCACCATTTTGGAGGAACAGCCCCAGCCAGGCCAAGCCCACAGCAACAGCGGAGATAAACCCCAAAGCAACTGGGCAGGAAGCAGAAGCCCTGTCTGCGCACAGCTGCCCAGCACAAGCCACTAGAGGTCGCTATTCTCCCAGGAAAAGGCTACAAACCAACAAGAAGGGAAGCTCTTCCAGCGGTCACTTGTACCAGCTCTGCAAACTATCTCTATCACCATGAAAAGGCAAAACTACAGGCAGACAAAGATCACAGAGACAACACCTGAGAAGGAGACAGACCTAACTAGTCCTCCTGAAAAAGAATTCAAAATAAAAATCATGAACATGCTGACAGAGATGCAGAAAA